CCCAAGGTTACAGCCACATTACTTGTCCTGCTCGTAGTCCCTTCCAAACGAGCAGTTCAAAAACTGAGACTTATTCTGTGCATTTTACAAAGTAATCTGGGATACAGCCAGGGTCATATCACACCTGCTATATCAGGTGCAACGACAGAGATGAATAAGACCATTAGTATTATTTATTACAGTTAGTGCTTACTAACTCTAGTCAAAGATAAGGTCCCCACTGTATTAGAGGCTGTATAAATATATGCAAATTTATATAAAGGTGATCTCTGACTCAAATATTAGAAGGCAAGTAACAAATTTAAAAGCTGCATAACCAAGATTAACACCTTGTCCCACTGCCCACCTCCCTACAGAGTCACTTTCTTGTTATGTTTCTGATGATCCTTTGTGACATGTAAGGTGATTCTTCACATACAAGTGAAGTCAGCAACATCTATATGTACTGGAAGTAAAATTCTCAGTTTTAAATAAATGTGTTCAGATTTCAGAAATAACAAAGTTGCAATACGATAGGTTCTGATACTACCTCCTAGCTCCAGGTTAACTTTTTGCGTGAACTTTCAAGCATTTCTTCGCTTTTTTTAGTACGCGTGCTTAACCATCTGATAAACTTTCAGAAAAAAACCCATCTAAATACAGAATAGTCAAGACCTGTAATATTCTCTGGTTCCAGCATCTACATTTTATTCATACTACAACTCAGCAAAGATGGAATTGTTGCCCTTGCTTTAGTGCCATAGCAATTTTCAGCTGTATTATATTTAGTATATTGCACTTAGGATGTCACATTTGAGATTAATCTTATTAGAAAAATAAATGACAAACATCAGCAAACAACAGAATTATGTCTCAATATATCATACACTGCAGGTATGGTTACATCACATAAAATGATTAGCTATTGTTTTGTTTTATATGAAGTTGATAATAAAAAAACCCTTACCTTGGCATACTTTAAGGTGAATGTTATTTTCTCAAGCTCATAGAGTGTAGGTGGATTTGAGCTAATTGCAACAGCTATAACTGATGAGCTTACTGTCTGTCTCTGCTCTGAAGTATCTTTCGAGGAGCGGTTTTTAGGCGATGAAAGCAAAGAACCAATATTGCTATACCGCAGAAAGACAACTGCAACGGTGCCTATCAATCAAACAGACCATGTTTAGTAGTTTGTGGTTTTTTTATAGAAGAACAAAATTGAAGACATTAAGGAAACAATAAACAATAGACATTATTACTGCTATTGTATAAAATATGCAAAACAGATGGAATCTTTGTGGAATACTTATAAAAATGTTTTAGAGACAATGAAATATAGCTTTATTTAAAACAATGTAACTGCCATTAGAAATAAAAATGTGTGTTCGCATTGGAAATTCTAATTAGATATATGCATATGTATTTTTTCTAGAGTAATATATGCTTGATGCTGTTCTGCAGTTGGCTGCATGTGCGGTGTTAGGTCTCATAAACTAAAATGGCTCAGACCTAAGGTAAATATTGGGCCCCTCTGAAGTATCTGGCTTGCTTTGACTTCCATTATAGTTGAGCCAGGGTGGAAGACACATAGGGAAAAACAAAGCAAAAGGTATTTTAGGATGCAGTGCTGATCTGAAAAAATGTGATTTTTCTCCCTGGTACCAAGATAAACCAAATTTTTAGGTACTGATAGGTGGTGAGATTCAGATTAGCTGGAAGATTAAGATTTAAAAAAATCTTTTCTATGTTAGGTTGTTTAATTCCAGAGCTGTTTAAACACATTTATTTATTTTTAGTAATGACAGTAGTTGTAAGCCATTTCTGTAGCACTCTCAGGTCCAAGCCAAGATCTGGGCCCTGCTGGTTTTGGTACTGAAGACTACATGTTCTTGCCCCAGTGAGCTACTCTCTAAATAGAAAAGATGCACCAATTTTTGGAGAAGTAACACAGAGAGTTGAAGGGGCCAGTCCAAAGTCACATGGTGGCTGAGAAAGGATAAAGCTCAGGTCTTTGGTACCAATATCCAGTGTTAAAAGTCACTGGATACTCACTGTGTCTCTGGAAACGTTAGAAATATCAGTCTTGAGACAATAAAGGGGTAAGAGAGATGGTGATAAAAATACCTTGACTCCTCTGTAGTTAGCAGGGCTGAAGCTCAGTCTTGGTAAACTGCACATTTGGTTATTTACTAGTGGGTATAAGTCTATCCAAGGTGTTTATTAACCCACCTACTCTCTAACCTTTGCTTCTTACCATTAGGATGAGATTCCTCTCTCTTCTTTGGAGAGATCTTTATGTAATCTCCCCCCGTGTATACGTGAGGGTGAATGTGTTTCATGTGGTGTGAATCAAAAGCAAAAACCTTGAGTGCTGCAAAAGAAGAAAAATACTGTACAAATCACAGTTCCATTATGGTCTACCATAATTTACAGTTGGGTTAATAAATGTGCTATTGGATTGCATAATTACCGTGAATTTTAAGAATATATCATTGTGCCAAATCTTTCAAGAAAAATGCTATTAATATAACATGTTTGCTTAAACCTCTATGTTTTGTTATTTTCATGCATACAGTTTGCTCTCATACTTTTTACCCTTTCCATGAAAAATATAGTCTTTTATTTACCTTGCATTAAATTAGGCACTGGAAAGAATAATGTAGGTTACTTTAGGAAGAGCTATTGCTTTATTAAAAATGCATTTCTGAAAGGGACCACAAATCACAATTGTAAAAAGCAAAGCATAAAATTCTCTACTGAATAGTAACATTTGATAAGAGCCAATTTTTGAAAAGTATATATTTTATAGTTATCTATCCATGCTACCAAATGCACATTGCACCATGAAATAATGATGTGTCTTGTCAAAAAGCAAACAAACAAGCATCACCCCTCAGGACAAAAACTACATTAGAGGACATTGAGCTCTTTACTTGGTTCATTATAGTGCTGAGTTTCAATCACCCAGGATGGGAACAAAAAAAAGTCAATCAGGCCTTTTTTTAAAAATAAAACAAAACAACAAATCTAAAACTTGACTGATGGAGGAATATCACTAAGCTAGACCATCTGCATTGCTTATAGCACAGCACACAAAAATAATATGAGCTATTCAATAGACCAGCTGTCAGAAAATGTTTGTCAGGATGTAAGAAATAGTTTTCTGTGGCTGGAGTTTTGAAAAGCTTGTAGTTCAAGAGTTTGCACCATAAAAAGTAGTGGAGGGAGAGGGGGAATGTTGTAGGACTTGTCCCAAAATAGATGTGTGGGGCACATATGAGCCCTGTGGAAAATATATTCATGCTGAAAAACAATAACAAAAAATTTTAGTTTGGGGCCAATTTGGAAAGGAGCTCATACAGTTTCCCATTTTAAACCAAAAGCAAGCCAAAAAATCATCGACCTTTCAACATGGAAATTCCTCCCCATTCTCCTTATCCGATTTTTTTTGTTGCCGGGGTCTGACTGATGTCTACACTGCCACCGAAGGCTGCACCCAAATCTTCTCTTCTCGACCTTCATGGGCTCAGCTCTGTGGCCAAGAGACCTCCTGCTTTCAGCCAGGGTGGTGGGGGAACAGGGGCTTTACAGCCAGCTCCTGGCACCGCTCTGGATCTGCTGCAGAACCAGAGGTGCTCTGCACTAACATAAATCTGCTTCTACAGAGTTTATGTCATGGAACAAATCCCTCCCTACTTTTTCATCACTCTCGCTAATTTAGTTTCAGAAAGATGAGGGAAGAACAGGTGGTTTGACCTGCCTCGAGACCAAAGGAGGAATCTTTCTCAAGTCATCTTATAAAATGGCAAACCAGTAAGAGGCACTGAAGGACTGTACTGAATCTAAAATAAGAAATCAGGTCACATACAGTTTGGGTACATTCAGAAAAACAAAAATGAAAGAGTGGCCCTTGCCAAAGGAATCAGCAGTGCTTTGTTAGGATTTTCAAAAGCGGCTGGTATTAGCCTTACTCTGCTCCCATTGAAGGAATGGTAAAACTATTATTACCACAGGAAAATCAGTAGGAATTGATGTGAAGACACCAGCACACAGGAAGAAGGTAGGAGAGCAAAATGGTGCAAGTGAGACTAACCAATTTCTCTCCTCTGAAATTCGTCTTAAAATGAGAAATTTCTCTGAAAAAAAAGCCACGCAAGATTTGACTCACTAGGTACAATCCTTATTCCAAGTTCATTTATAATACCTTCACTGAACCAAAAAGAGTAACAAAACAGTATAGAGCAAATCCAAATTTCATTCCACTGGTGTTTTTTGTGCATATAAGGTGCATAGGATAATTTTGTGCGTATAAGATGAATCCAGATTCACTGTGATGGTGTGACTATAATGAGAGATTGAAAGAGAATCTGAAAGGACAACTTCCCACAGCCTCTCAAGTTTTTTCTAGGCTCAAATGTTCAATCTTTGAAAATTATGATACCTACACTGAAAGTCAGGTGTTAGTTATGAAACTCATACAAATTAACACCTGGGTGTTTCACATAACACCATTTCTAATCTTCATAATTGTGCTGAAAAACTCCTCAGTGTAATCCACATCTGAAGTATACCTTAGATTAATTGTCTTTATTTTACCTATGTCACTTGCATTAGCATCTAGCTGTGTTGTCTTTTTGAAGTTCTGCGACATGAGAAGCGTCGCTTGTTCTGCAGTATGCAGCAGCTTAGTCAGGCTCCGTCTTTGGTTATCTACAGGAAGAGCTTCCCAGACTGTAATTTTGTCTTTTTGTAAAAAATTGTTCACGGTGTTAACCAAAACCTATAAATAAAAGAATATTTTTAAGTGGAGGAGTCATATGCTATTTGTAAAATAAGAAAGAACCCCACATCTTTAAGGCTTGATCTACTCACATTAATGGTTGTATTACGAAGTGCTTCACTGTCAGAAACAGAGTAATACATGGTATTCAGCGATGAATAAGATAGTGCTTCAACATATGAAATCACATCTATAGGTAAAAGCGGTCCCAACGTATTTTTATTAATTTCTTGCAGCATCATCAGGGGTGTTTTTAAATGACTAATCTGAAAAATACAAGAACTTGCATCTTAATGAAACAAGTAAAGACACATTTCTGCAAATGTCTGATTTCTGTGAATTAACACACTGGCTTTTAAGATGCTTGTGCATAAAAAGAGGCACTATTTAAATCAACAGGTTGACCTATAAAGTAATGGTGTTACACATGTCTGGTATAACCCTAACAAGCAACTATGATTAAAAAAAGAGTCATGTGCAATCCTTAATTTTTTTTTTTTTACTACTGCAGCTCAGTTTTATTTATCCTAATGCTCCAAAATGAACTAGTAAATGTTCTGCAAAAATATTTAAATAGCAGTGAAATGGTTACTCTGTTGACTCTTTTCTGTTAAATTTTAGCTGAAGAGGTGGGAGCAGATGGGCAGTATTTGTATATTTTGTGGTTGGTTTTTTTCAAATGCAGGTTATAAAGCGCGTACTTTAGTGAAACTGTACTGCCTATTTCACCTTCACTACTTCAATTTATGAACTGCTAAATGTACTTACATAAAACAATTAGTTTAAAAAGTAGTAGGCTAGAGAGAGTGAGATGATTAAGATTGCAAGTTTCAGTATCCTGGCTGAATAAGAAAAGAATTTCTACTTCACAATTCTGAAATCTAATGAGATTTTATCCAACAAAAAGCCCCCCAACACCAGGTTTTGGAAGATCCGTAGTCTCTGCTGCTGAACAGCTTTTATGGGGCTTGCCTCATTTTTGACTGAAGCTGAATAGAACTACAACACAGGCTAAAAACTAAGCTAAAATCTGACACGCTGTTATTTACATAAAATTGAGGTATCTTGACTTATTACTTTAAGTTTCGTTTGACTACGTATTTAAAAAAAAACTCGCTCTAAGATCCTGCTGTGACGTATACCACGTCTTTGCACATAAATGTGGTAAGCACGTATTATATTTAATATAATGTATTACATTGCAGGTTAACATAGAAAGCATGTTAATACAATGTGTATCTTACACTAGGTTAATAAAAGTCTTTAAATTAATCTTTCTGAATCTCGTAACTTCGACAAACTGCTTAATATAAAATGCAAACATATACAATTGGTTTTAATTTATTTATGCTTATGTTTCATTTATCCTTTTAAATTAAACAATACTATAGCTGTAGACTAATGAATAGTGAATTCATTAATTTTTTTTTTTAATTTGCTTCAGGAATCTCTGCTTCTGGTGGAAAAAAAAATCTTGAGTCCAGAGTCTTTGAGTCTATAAATTCTGTACCACTTTACATACTATGCTTTGAGGAGTAAATGTACTAGCACACCAGGATGTTATTGCTCCATTTTCTATTTTGTCCCTTGTTGACATTACTTTTGTAAGCTCTCTTGCTGCCTTTCACTCTGAACAAGCAAATAATTGCACATCAGTAAATGCAGCAGTGTGTAACTTCAGAAATTACAGAAACAGTTGAGTGATTACCACACTTCTGAATTTTTCATGCATCATGACTCACTTTGCTGGAAACGGAACACACAGATTCCCAGCAAGTTATTATCATGATTTGAACATACAACCCAGTTCAAATAATTTGAAATTATTAAAAAGATTTCTGTAAACACGCTTAAGTTCAATTGTATGCTTCAAGCATTTGCTAAAAGCTCCTTAAGAACTATTATAATTGAAATAACAGTTTCAAACAGAAGCAATTAAAAGATTTGGAAATTAATCTATAAACCAATGCTACTTACTCCAGCTAAAGTTCTATTAATATGTTCAGTTATACAGTCTTTGTATAACTCACACTTGGCCTTTGGATTTTCTGTAGAAATTAAAAAGAAACTAATTATAAATTGCAGTTTAATCAATATTCAATATACACTCATTGTCAGAGCTCCTGTCTAAGTTATTCCCCAAACCACCAGCATTCTGAATTTATGCACATAAGACGCAGCACTCCATTCAAAAACGTCAGCTACTAAGACTTTATCTTGGCCAAAGTTACAGGATTGGACTCTGAGTTTTTGTTTTACTCTGGTAGAGTTTGGCGCCTTTCCTTGGGACTTCCACAGATGAAGTTAAGAGGCAGCTCAAATTTACAGAGAGGAGTTCAGATCTGACAACTATGAGGAGGTAACCATTATTTCAAATGGATTTGATCACATTGTTTAGCAAAGGTGCATTTACAAAATGATTCTATTCTCAGGAAATGTAGATGCCACTGCCTTGCCTCTTTTTCATGTCTCGCTGATTAATCTAACTGAAGATAAAGAGGCACTGGTGGGTTTCTCAGAAGATATAGCTCTATAATAACACATAAACCTTTATAATATCATGTACCTTGGCAGGAAGTGCCATCATTTGGCTTAAACTGCAATTTTCCTGTGGATGGTTGAAAACCTTCCTTACAGGAGCAGTTAAACCCTCCATCCACGTTTTCACATTTTGCATGATCTCCACAGGCAACAGTTCCTTCATTGCTGCACTCATCTACATCTGCAAATATCGTGAGAAATTGAATTTTTTATTAAGTATTTACAGACTAATGCCTTGCTGCTTTGTTGATAATAGCCCTGCACACTGCAAGCAGTTTCATAATAAAATTTCATGGAATAAAAAAAAGCAAAAACCGAAAAGGCAAACTTAATGGCAAAACACCTGCCAATTATAATACTTAGGGATTAGAAGGATAAATCATAATTGATCATATTTTTATACCACCACTTTTATTACTATATAATACTGCATTGATCATGTTTTAAAACCATGAGTGCAAATATTAATTCTATCATAACAAAATGCTCGGCATGATGCAAATCATCTAAAATCCATTTTCCAGAGATTAGGCTAAATAGATTTTCTCAGCCTTATGATTCAGTTAGAAAAGAGAAAGAAAACTGCAGTCTTTTCTTTTAAGTCACGGCTTTAAAAAGATGCTACAAAAGATCACTCTATCCATCTCGTTAATCTAAAATTTAAGCTCTGTGCCCTTTAAAGTGCTTGGCAAGTCTTTTTTTTAATCCACATTTAAATTACATTTGCCTAAAATGGCTTTTGTGCTTCTAAATAATTTGCCATTAGGTAGACAGGTTCAGTAACTGGGTGGGGCACAGTCCAAGAGTAAAACCGATGAATTCCGGTAAGGGAATCAATGAATTGATCAGTTTAGGAGAGCTGGGTACTAACTCTCTGGCTGGCGTAGGGATTCTTTTGCATTATTTGGTTGGCTGAGGATAAAGATCAAATAACTCAACGGAGAAAGTAAACTGGGAACAATACCAAATAATTCTGAAGAATGAAGTAATGGACTGTGAAATGCTGTGCTGGAAAGGAGAAAAGAGTGAACAGCTTTGGGACAGGTATATCTGACGAAAAGACTTGAAAAATGAAGAAGTGACACATGAGCAGATTTAAAGGAACAGCCTGAGAGGAGAAGGTGCTGAGAACTGAACTGAAGGACAGTAAAGGTAGAGAGGGGAATGGATGAACCAGAGAGGAAGACAACCTAAGTTAAGGACTGGCATGACACTGAATTTGGGAAAGAAATTAGAGAAAAAGGAGAACTGATTAACCGATCAGCGGAGGAGAATAGCTACCTGAACTGATAGGAGGCCTTTGTGCAGCCAGATGGGTGTTAAGAACAGACAGACAGAAAGCAGATGTGGGGGGCTGGAAATGTGCTATTAGCATATAAGAACTATTTTTGCACTCTTATTTTGATACAAGATTGTTGGTGGTTTTCAAAAAGGAGTAGAACAAGAATGAGCAATAATGTATGTGAAATAAGGTTGCTAGAGAAACGGAAATTGTGGAAGAATGGAAAAAATGTACTGCATCTCTGTGAATATATCTAGGGAAAGCAGAAGGATGTCTGAAGGATACCTGGGGGCCATCTGCCTATTTGCAGAGCGTTTTTGGTAACTTTGTAGAACATTCTTCACTAATGACAAGAGAGCCTCTATAAATAATCAGATTTTTTTTTTTTTTTTTAGATGGGGTAACTGTAAAATGCATTTAAACTTTTAATGGAGTTTCCCAACAGTTTGCATCCACACAATTTTTGCTGTTTTGTGCTTAATTCTCAGCTCCCTTTCTTCTGCTCGTAATCCTAGAGGTCTTCCTGGGGTTCAAGGAGATGGTTGAGGTCCCACCTCATTTTCACTTCCCTATTTTCCTCACTGATCAGTGGCTCTGCTTTGCACCTGAAATGAGGTTCAGAAGCTCCCATTGAAAAGCCATTCAGACTCCCACATGGCACAGGCGGGAAGGAAAGGTGGGGCTGGAAGCGCATTTGCCCTCTCCAGCGCAACCACCTCTGCTCATCAGGGAGAGCCGCCAAAGAGGCTGTGTGTTTGAATGGGTTGGTGCAAGCACTGAAGTTTAATGTATGAGGTTAAATTGTAATTATCTGCATTAGGGCAATAGTTTGTTTCCATACTTAATGCCCCAAACTGCAAATGTTTCTCTTTAATGAGCTGAGTTTTGCATTATCTGTCTTTGTATCGTTTGGATTGTCATATAGTCATGGAGCTAACCAGGTTGTACACCAATGAATCTGGCAAAAGTGAAGAAAAGAGGGGAAAAAAGCGTGATATAGTGCTACACACAGGCTCCCTCATAATTAAATGCTGTCATTTAAAGACATAAGGCTAAAGTTCTTACTCTTGGCATTTAAATAACCTCTCACATCAGTAAATTATAAAGCTCTTTTTGAAACAAGTGGGTGCCTGTCAGTGCCCTGTTGTGTGACTCTGTGTAAGACAGTCAAACTTTGAATGAATTGAAGTGGCAAGGGTGAAAACCATGACGATACCAGTTTGTATAACAAGAACACACATCAGCCTTATACCAAAGACTTTTTTGGCCTTGTCAGCTACAAGGAGAAGGACATGTACATCTTAACAAGATATTCAGCATGTAATGCAGTGCTAAAACACCAAAAAATGACAACAAGCTTTGCTAAAACTTACAATGACTTATAAATAAATAAATAAATATTTGAATACTTTCCAGACTACCATTGCTAAGTATTAGGTTTCCATGTGATTTACTGATGCAAATATTTCAAAATTATTCCGATATTTTGCTTTTTGTGAGCCTTTAGTTTGGTAAATCATTTATTTGTCATTATTGGGCAGTCATACAAATTACCCTTCCTTTTGTAATTATGTCAGATATTAAGTGTAATGGAGATTTTAATGAGAAGTCAGGATTATCCAAAACAACAGCAGAAACTTAAGCACCAAGGCACATCTCTGGCAGCAGGATGGCTATTTAAAGTCTGATAGAGACACTCTGTCGAGTATATGCAAATAGACTTTCTGCAGTTGAGTTGTCCATATGGAATGAGTCCATATCACGCCTATCTAATTTACTGTTTCCTGGAGAAAAAAAATCTCCCGGATGACAAAATTAAAAGGCAATATGCCTGATCTTGCAAGGTACTAATCAGCTTTGTATCCCTTTTAAATCAATGAGATTGTCAGGGGCAGCCAACAATTTGTGACAGTTGCAAGTATGCTGCTTTTAAGTTCCTGCTTTGAAATACTGTGTGCAGTAGTTGTAGGTTTTTGTTTCTTTATATTTTGTAGTTATGCCTTTTTAACCGAATATGCAATTGTTGGACACACACGGACAACAGCTTGTCAGTGCTTTCAGCAATCCAATTTTACTGGAGCTTTGGGGCGAGGATCTCAAACCGTCCTCCTTGATCTACTATGGAAGCGGGACGGGGCTGCCAAGGCTTGCGTGAGCAGTCTTCACAGACAACATTCCTGAGCAAAGGTTGAAGAACAGCAGCTTTTTAAACAGAAGAGCATTTGCCATAGCTCTGCAAAAAGCCCTGGCCTTTTAGCAAATATTCAAAACAAATCCTGGAGCTGAACTTTGAAGCTTTTATGATAGCTCAGATCAGAAAAATAATATCACCAACACCACTTAGGCCAGTGTGAAAATAGATTTATAACCTTTTATTTTATTTCTGTGCTTTGTCACTCCTCATTTTCTGCAGCAGGCAAGGAAATTCCAATTAAATTAAAAGTACTGAGAACAGTTATTATGTTCAGTCTTGCCAATTACTGGATTGTACCTACATCGCTTTGATTCTTCACCAGTCAGTCAAGACAGCTTGATGTCTACATTATACCTTCTGCTTATTAGTAGCTTGCAAGTGATTGAAAAGTCCAATTGCAAAGGACTAGATGTTCCCTCCCCATGTCTCCATACTGTGGAAGGCAGCAGCACACACAAAGTAGAAATGAAAAAGCCTACGAATGGCACAGGTAAAAGAAAAGTTAGCAATGTGGCATAATGCCATGTCCCATCCACTGTACAACTCCCCTGTCACAGAAAAGGATGCGATGGAGAATGGTGCCTTCCCAGTGCTCTCAGAAATACCTGAAGAAAACTAATAGCATGTTCCTGGAAAAGGCAGAGTGGCACAGATGTCACTTTCATTTTACAGATGGCCATTTTCACAGTTTTACTCTGTTGACCGGAGTGAAAAAAGTAGGTTTATATTTCACCTTTTTATCTGCAGATGAACATTCAATAAGATGTGAAGTCTAAGGAAAAGCATGGCTTTTACACAGTAAATAGATTTTAATAGCTCTCGTTCAGGACAGCACAAAAGTATAATCTTCAGAAATATCACATCTCTGCATTCCTCTCTTCTCCATTTCCTTTCTGCTTCTCTTTTTCTCTCTCTCCCTTCCTACCCTGCAGTTCCTCCTCTATCCGCATGTTTCATTGTCTGCCTGGTAACATGGACGAAATACTACTGACCCTCAACTCAAACCTCAACATTCTGGTTGGATTAAGGGTGAACTGATATTTCCCAAAGCCGTTGTTCCAAGTTTTCTTTTTATCCACTACCTTGAGAGTTATAATCACTTTATAATTGGAAGTTTAGTATAATATCCAAAGAGGGGAGGAACACACATGCGTATGCACATGGACTTTGAAATGGACGCACACACACACAGTGACGTACCACACTTGCACCACTGGGAACTCCAGATAGGTTGGATGGCATAAACAAACAGGTTGCATAATGGCATACTCTCCAAAATTCAACCTCTGTATTTTTAAAGTTACTGCCATATACATTATACACATATATTAAAAAGAAAACTTGACTTTGCAGAATCTCAAAATATTTTGGGGCCCTATAAACTTGGGTAGGAGGGATACTTGGTAGCTCTGTCCTCCAATTTGTACTGGATAACTTGCACTGTATTTACAATGACAGCTTCAGTGTTTGCTTCAGCTGTGTATAGTACACTCTGAATACACTGCTGTCAGCTGCTTGTGTGCGAGTCATATCTACTACCTGTAGCAGCAGATCCATTGGGTACAAGATATCTTATTATGGTTTCCCTGACAGATAAAATAGAAAATTAATTGTGGATCAAAAGGTTGTCTTTAGGACTCACTGCTTGGTAAAGTAATTGGTACACTTGTTTAATGAGAAAAGGTGCCCACAGGTAATTCTTTATTTCAGTGTGAGTTTTGGAAGCTCTCAGCTCCTCCCATATGGATTTGCAAAAAGAAGAAAAGTGGTAAACTAACCCCCAGTAGAGGATAAAAAAAGATCAGTCCACCCAGTAAAGAAAAGAGGGCAAAGAAAAAAAGAAATTAACAAGCTAATGGTAAAAAGCTAAAGTGACACAAGAACAGTCAGAGAAGTAACTTTGAAGACAAAACTTCTGAAGCTGAGGAAATGTCATAACTTAAAAATCAAAGCCTGGACCAGAAACTGCGAGAATATTTACAGCTCAATGTGCTAACAGTCTCAGTCCCAGCTAATTTAAGAACGATTCATAGCGGCTGGATAAAGCAGAGTTTTTTAAATGAATGTGAGCAATGGGCAAGAAATGTTGATTAGATCACTTTCTGGCTTAATATGCAGCCATTCTGCTGATATTAAAAGCAGTAAGAAGAGAGGTTGTCAGCACTCACAAGCTCACAGGAGACATACCTAGAATGAGACACAGTCAGCATAAAGGTACAAAGGGCAATAGATTTATTTCTCATTTTCCCATTCCCTAAGGACTGTTGCAACATACAGAGAAAATTATCAGGAGTTTGAAAAAAGAGAAATAGTTACAGTTCTTCCATTCAAAGGAAATCCTAAAGGATTGCATAGTTCTTCAGAAATAACATTTTTCCAGAGAACTTTTCCTCCCCTGTAATCTTGAACATGTTCCATCCAACTGCTACAGAAACAGAGGCTGATGGATGGCACAGGAGGCAGGATAACTACTGATCTTGCTCATTGCTTTTGATCAGACTTGAAAAATTACCAAAAATATCCCAACCAAAGCCCCCAAACAAAAGTTATTTGGAGCACAGTAGGTCAAATGTATAGGGAATTTTGTTGGTCCTGAGCAACCTGAATGCAGAATACTTCGTCACTCTGCTTTGTTTTAAGAATATGACAACCTTGCTCAGAGATCAGTGAAACAGGGGCATAATTAGGTGGATTGGGGATTTCTGTGTTACCTTAACTATATAGTCATCATCTAAAACTGTGACATGTGGATTAAAAATATCGTGAGCAGAGTCAAGATTGAAGTGTTACTGAAAGCAATGGCAGCTGCTGTGTTATCAGTGAGAAGTGTGGGCCTGAGCTGGAATATTAAGTCTGTACCAGTCCAAATTGTGGGAATTTTATATCTAGACACCAAACTTAACAAGTCCGAAAGCATTTTGTTAGATTTCTATAATTAACAGAAGCAATAAGAGAAGAGTGACAACGTAAAGCTAGCTGGCAGACATTAATAACTTACCCACGCAGGAGGTTCCATCATTAGGTACAAAAGTTTGTTGACCGTTGCTGGATTTGAAACCAGGTGCACACATGCAGAAATAACTTCCCACCGTGTTTGTGCAATTGGCATGCTCTCCACAAGGCTGAGTAGCATTTTCACATTCATTATCATCTGTCAAGACATAAATTATGGAGACATATATTTGCATTTGCCAGTTGAAGAAAACAGTAAAGCTTGATTTGGCCTCCAGTATTTTATTTAGGTAAGTTTTGAATGCTGAGCTGGCACTCTTGGTGTTTGTCTATATAGTTTTCCCATTGCCAAGGATGTAATCAGGTGTTCAGCAGCACTCTTCTGCCCTCGTCCTGCGTGAGTCAACAAATGAGAAAACCAGTGGGATACTGAAATGAATGGTTTAATTGGATATTCACTTGGAATAAAGGATTGAGACAAGTACATGTTCTGCCATGGTTGTATTTGATAACATTTTTTGCTATCCAAAAATCTACAGGTAGAGAGTCACCCTGAGGATGCATCTGGGAATTTTAGAATTATAGAAAACAGAGCTCAAAAGGATATCAGGAAATCACCCATTCCTTCAAAGCAGGATCAATATAGCTAAACTGATGGGTTTTTTTCTGGCTTGTTTTTGAAGACCTTCTGTGGTATTTCTCAGCAGTCCCAGACAACAAACTTACAAAGACTGTCCTACTGACTGACCTGAGCCTTCAAGTGTATTGTTGTTTCTTAGTTATCCCAAAGATCTTATCAAACAGATGAGCAAGATTCATGACTTGATCTTTACCTCTTAGCAATTGCTGTGCAAGTCATCAATTTTGTACCTGCAAAATTACATGATCTATTTTACAGGGCTAATCCCGTGTCCCCAGTGATACATGAAAAAGGAACTGTATACACAAGTTTTAAGACTACTTCCTCTCTGCAGAGCCTCTGCGTGTGCTATCATTGTGAGCACGGGGATCCAGCTAGCTTGATCAAAGGTCAAATGAAATCATAAACTCATGCTTTGAACTGTATAGTTGATCTTCTGCAATGACTCAATAAAACTGTTTCCTCTCCAGAATCTTCCAAGGTCCCTGTTGTCTATTAAATCATTTTCAAACCAAACTTGAGAAAAATTTCAAAAGCTTCCTTATCCAGACACTCTACTTGGGAAACTGAGAGTAACACTCACAATACTGATAATTCCATCTTTCCAAATAGCCCATTTCTCCCAAAGCACCCCAAAAGTCTGAAACAAACAAATCAATGAAACTCTTCCAAAGATGACACTCTGAGTGGAGTTCTCTATTTTCTACATCACGAGAAAGGAAAAGAGTTAAAGGCTTCCTGAAGTCTACTGGGATTTTGATTTTTTTCCTGTTCTCAAGCAAAAGGTACTCATAAGATGATGAATGACAGGAAAGAATTCTAACAGGGAGAGAAATAACAATTTATTGCAGAAGAAGAACGATTAAGGAGCGTGACAGGGAGAAGAAATATGATTTCAGAAAAGACACCCAGGGACGAGTTTCAGAAAGGTGCTTCTGCTTCCTGATGGTCAGTGTTCTCATAAGGTGTTTACAGAGATAGGGTACAGATAAGTAAAATGTCACGTAAGCTAGGGAAGTGGCAAGATTAAAGTACACCAAGAGCTGTAAAGCGTTGCAGGAATATATTTCTGCAATATAACTTAGTCACAACCCCTAGAATAACATTGGAAAAGGACATTTTTCAGATTTGAAGTCTGACGTGATTTTGAATGTTACTCAGTTGACTCAGAAATGCAAATATCAATTCAGAACTGCAGCTTTCCTCAGGGGAATTTGGGTCAACAGTATCAAATGGATTATGCTCATTATAACTAAAATTGAATGTAATTTAATGAGGAATCCAAGTATAAAAGCACTTTGCCAACACATGTCAACAATATTTATTCTACAGCTTTGGTATTCATGAGAATACAGCAGAGAAGGTGGATGATTTGGATCTTATTTAAAGAATGCCAAAGTAAAACCGAATTAGTCTAAGTGCAATTATGATAGGGAGGAAAAAATGTGGTGTTAATCCAAGTTCAAAACGTAGCATGAGAATATGAAGAAACCAGTTTGGCATACAGCGTTGTGAAGAGCAGGCCCCATAACACTTTACAAATCTTGGTAGCAAGGTCCACTTGTTTGAATATCATTTGTGTGTGTCTGTGTGTTTGGTTCTTTTGCAATCCCAGTTTGCTCCTGGACCCTGGCATTTCATGACAAAAAGAAGTGCACTACCCTGTTTTAGCTGCCAAGTAAACTTGTTCTTGGGAAAATATTATAGATCCTAGAAAATAACATGTGTTGACTTTGGAAAGCTCATGGGATAGTAGTCATGGAAGATGAGAAGTAGAAGGACACTGAGCACTGCAGGACTTCATTCAAAGTAGAGGAATAACAGAGCTGATGAGAGAAAAGCTACAGGCTGCATACAAGAACTTTTCTTTTGGATTTGTTTTCTAGGAGCTCAACTATAGTCCTCAAAATCCAGCACTAGTACCTTTTTCAGGTGGTCCAAAAAATTTATAAGTAATATTAAAATGACTCATGCAGTGGTCATTAATAAATTCTTTACAATTATGCTTAGTTAACTCTACTGGATTATTGGTGTTTTTCCTCAATATTTAGGATGTCTGTAAGGGGTTTAATGGTGACTATATTGCCTTAGAAGGCTTATCTATTGAGAGAACCTTTTTGATAATGTGAGAAATCTTTAGAACATTGAAGAAAAATAGCAGTAACTTACATTGCAAACACAAGAATGGATATTTTTAAAGAGTTAAATTCATAAGGAGCTTTCTTTTCGCTATGCCCATGGTCTAATGTAATAGCGAGCAGACCATGCTGGGGGATAATTTACTGGACCACATTGTGCTTCCGTTGAAATTAATGGCATAAAAGTCACTGATGTAAGTAGGCCCAGGGTGGTGCTCGCTATGGAAAACTTCTGGGTTAATGAGAAAGGCAAGCGAGGAAGAAGTTTTCAAGAAAAAGGAGCTTCATATACAGTTTGACTAGATGTGTTTAAATAATCTGCCTAATTTCACACAAAATATTTTACAAAATCAACAACGATGGGAAAAATATCTTCTAGTTCTCTGTATAAACAATTTGAATTTTTTCTTCAGACAGCAGTTCAATGTGAAGCCCAGGGGCTTAAAGTAATTTTCCAAATTTTACATGATTTATGCTATTATTGGATTTGTGATTTAAAGGACATCAGGAAAAAAACAACTGGATTTACAGATGGAAAAATGTTTTAGGTGGTTTTTTTGTTAAAGAAAACTTTCTGTCTATACAGAGAGGATATTTTAAATGACAGCAAGTGTATAATCCACCTGCTTTGTTGCTACCTAATTTAATTATGTCATGTGCATTCATTGCTGGCACAGATACCCACTGAACACTACAGGCAGTATTTCAGGAATGCGTGTCCCTTTAAAGATTTTTTTCTTTTATTCCGGTAACTGATGAAAAATTGGGAGACTTTTAGAAACAAGATTGGCCAAATGACAAGGTTGATTATTGTGGCTAAATGGTAATACTGCATTCAAGTCTGTTTGATACACAAGAAATTTTCTGAATAGCTGAACTGTCTTGAGAAATGGTGGTTTTTTTTGGGGCGTGGGGAACAGGTTGTTGTTTGTTGGTATTGTTTTTTTTTTGTTTTGTTTTTTTTTTTTACATGGCAGTTCTATGCTATTTGGATTGCTCTAAAACCTTATCATTAAAAATCACAGTGTGAGGAAGGTTATAAATAGTTTCCTAGGAAATTTGTGTTAAATAACCCAAAGAAGGGTGAATGCAGGAATGTGTATGTACCTGGACATTGGTAGGATGCTTACATGATACAGGTGTAAATTAAAACTGATTCTCCTTTTCCACCTTTAAAATGCAGCTACTATGTATTTTACTGTAGATGTAATTATGGTTAGAGGGAATCAGCTACTAGCTGTATGTAATAATTTCTCTGCTCGTCTCTTGAAAATGTGTAAGGATCTTCAAAAGCAAGAAAATCTGAAAAGCTGTTACACCCCTTTCAAACTCAATTTGATTTGAGGATGGTAATTCTGTATTAAAACTGCATGTGTTCATTAATATGAGAACACCATTGGTTTAGGATTGAGTAGCCCCACTCAGAAGTTTGGGCATTGAAGGAAGTCTTCCCCTGTCACAGAGGGCTATAAATTGGATCCAGTGCTTGAACAATCACTCTTTTACATCAGGTAACGTTATACAAAAATGTATTATAACAATGCTAAACAAAATTCATACACATATTACTTAACAATGAATAAAGAACATTCAATTCTTTTAGAAATTTTAAAACATGAAATACAAAAAGGAAGAATGATTTGTGGATTTTAAGGCCATGATACAGTTGGAAGTTAGAGGAATCTAATAAGATTTTAGGAAAAAAGGATAGGGAAGATTTCTTCTATCATATTCTATATACTTTCTAAAGTGCAAGTTTTACCCTGTCATATATCCTGCTTTAATACTGGGTGGTTATAAAATTATAATCTACAATATGAAAATGCTGGGGCAACTACAGCTACAAAATGACATAATTTGTTATTAATGTGACAAGCATGAGAAAATGCTTTGAATTATCAGTTTTAGATATAAGATTTTTTGTAATACTGTTTACATGTTTTACATGAAAAATGTCATGAGGGAAAGTCTTACGGCAGCAGATTTATCAAAACAGCTTTGAAGGGATTCCATTGCACGGAGCACATCTTTTTGATGATATGATGACATATAATATGAAGAGTTAGTTTTGGGGTGAAACTTACCATATTGATTCACAAACACACAGAAGTTTTTTTTTCCTTTTTGTAAATTTTGAAGTAAACTGTTTCCCCCTTCACTTCAAGTAACTGACAAACAAGGTTGAAACCATCCAAGTTAAACAGAGTGATTTGTGCCTATTCAGTCCTCACCAGTCCATGCGAAATGAGATTTTCGTAGAAGTGAAACTTTGTATTATAGAATATATTCTGGGCTCTCTGGCATTGAATTAAATTGATATCAGTCAGGCTGATGGTCTTTATTAATTGGTAAGTGACCTTTACTTGGAAAAATAGCAATGTTGAATTTGGAGTTTGGTCACTGGTGATAGCTAGCTGGAGG